TCACTCGCATGCATCATCAGATTTTCAATAGCATCTGACATCGATACCGGTGATATCGAGACAGGGTCTTCTCAGACATTACATGAAATATCCATTTGATCCAGTGTGAGGCATCAACTATGAGACCCCTAAATTCTAACTTTCATCAGCATTCTATATACAAGTATGGTTTGCTGGTGAAATAAAGCATTCACATTCCCTGGCTCAGAAATAGATGAATCAGGCAAGAATCACTGAACAGAGCATTTGATCTTTTCTGAGAACTAGATCGCTCTGATGAATCAAGGCAGAGCATCGCAGAGAGTTCAGACAAATAACCATTCTGAATGATATCTGAATGAATGTTGGTGTCGCGATCATACTTTGCATCAGCAAGATAACAGAAGATGAAAACATCAGAATTGATAGAGTATGAATTACAATGAGGAAAAGGGATTCTGGATTTAGCAGTGTACATACATATAGGCAGGACTCTCTCCTGTATCACAGACTAAGCACAACCGCTGCTCCACGAAGGGTGAATAGTCCTCTCTCCCACTGAATATAGATAATAACGGTGTGCCATTTCTCGCGGGGTTATGTATCTATCATTGGCGTCGATATGGTACAGTATTCGTTATAGGCACCGGCATCGGGGTCATTAGTTATTTATGGTGGGTAGTGTGGCATGGTATTGGTTAATCTCAATTTGGAGAGCCAATGTCGGGGTGCGTCTCTGCAATATCAAGAATCGTTAAGCACCGGTGACTTCGGGAGTTGTATAGACAATATAATACAGAAATTTCTTTCCATATAGGTCATCAATACCTCAGTGTAAGAGGGGTGCAGAGTATTCACCAGTCCACAGGCGAAATATTTGGGGGTATTAATCCCAATACTTTGCGAGTTAAAGAAGCAATATAAAACCTGTAGTGTCTGTATCCTAGCCCCATGCAGTAACCGGTTCAGGTTCTTCCAGTGATACGTGGGGATTGACGTTTCCATCAGAATTTGGGTTAAATTGGAGGTCAACATTGCTGGTAGAATGAAAGAAAGAGTAATTTGGATTAACCTGACCATCATCGAAGGATCGTTGACGTAGATATATGCCCAGCTCTGTTAGGCCAGCTCAATGATCCGACGACATTCCTTGTATTCATCGGAAAGAGATGTCAAGTTCACAGATACCCAAATGGGATGACTTTTAAACATCATGTGATGACATTGTTGCAGGGAGGCCATTTTCGAAATCCTCAATTTTGGGTTCAAATATGTGATTAAAGATTTCGGCTTCATCCTTCTTTTTAAGAACATAAAATTGTCTAAGAACACACAACACCACTCATTGCTGATCTGTCCACTTATGTCTTGGGATTTTAATTCTTCCAAAATCTAGGAAATATGGGTATTCCTCAACGCTATCCATATCTAACTTGGAGAGGGATTGAGGCGACTTCTCCACGAAGACAAAGAGAATAGCAGCAGATACGGCGGAAAATTTGCAGGAGGCAATGAGGAAGATTGCAACTGTTCAAAATCAACACAGAAGCTCGAGAGGTTGAAGGGTTGAGTAAAATGCGGAAAGCTTAAGAGGCTGTCGAATCTTGGCCTTGAATATACAGCCTTGATGAGACTAGAAGAACACAATCCACAAGACAACGCGACAACAACATGAGCGCGTCATTGTGGTGTATCATGTAGTGATGGTATCTGGGCCTGGGGGTGACCTGGCACCGTAAGGGTTTTCGATGCACATTGGGTCTCGTATATCGATGAACATTGTATAGGGAGGAAGACAGTGCAAGAATTAGTGATCAAGCGCTTCAGCTGTTTGATAGCTTCTGGCTTCTCAAAGAAGAGAAGGAGAATAAGACTCGGACCACATTATAAAGAATTTGATCGTATTGCTCCAACTAGGAGCTTATTCTCAATCAGAGAATATAACAACAGTTATCATCTCAACTAGAGGTTGTTGACAATGGGGACCACCTCAACTAGATCTGTTCTTCTATAACATTTGCTGGCTCCGCGGTGGAGGCTTCGTAGATTAGTATCTGACATCTTAGTGTCCTCAACTGAGTCTTCTTTCGATCGCGGGGCTGAAAAAGTGGGCATCTTACAGTCACAGGACGTTCTCTGGAAATATCCAAGGAGGCCCTGCGCCAAGGGAACCAAAGTTCAGCATGGCGCTTCCGGCTGCGGTTTATATATTTTCCTTTGCTTCGGGGACCTACACACACAGCCTTCGCTGGGATTCCTCAAGTTTCTTTGGCTGTGTACTGTACACACCCTCCTCTCTCTCTGTGCTCTTTGATCTTGTCTACTCTACCATCTTGTAGTCTCTCTTCGCATCTACCCCACATAATACTTTGTGGACCTTTACCTTTTGTAACTTGGGTGGCTGTCTGGTCCTTTTCGTCCTGGTTTCCTTGCGAAGGGCCACAGCACGGGATTTCTGTTGATTACATCAGGTGAGTCGACAATTTTCATGGATCAACAAGGAATACATTTAGACACCTTCGCACGCATTCGAAACAATTGGAGACTTACTGCTGTGATCGCTACAAAAACTATGTGGATCTGTACCAACCACGCCAGATCGCCAGATCATCAAATTCGTTTGTATTCAGCCAAATTCCTGAGAAAACACTTACAGGAGGCTTGTATGAATAAAATGGTTCTCTTAAGTTGTTGTGTGACTCAGTTAGCTCGGCTTGAGATATTTTTGGACACACGAAGTTACTAGATTGAGTGAGAGTTCTCAAGTCCCCGTGTTTCACAAAGCCATTCTCTTGTATTACTACTATCTGAGATATATGAAGGCCTTGGCGCCTCGTGACCGGACAAGCATTCTCCCGGTCAAGCATTCTCCCGATCAAGCATTCTCCCGGTCAAGTACTCTCTCGGTCAAGCATTTTCTAGGGTTCTCTAGGTC